GAGGAACGCATTAGCATAATAGGCCACACCCAACAGCAGAAACTCGTTAGGATTGGCTACGTTAGGGGTGTGTGGCCTAACATGCAAAGGGGTTCCTGCTACAAAAAAAGCCCTGGGTTTTGACAACAAACAAGGTAAACAGAATAAGAAGCAAAAGGTGGGTGTGGCTGGATGACCACACTTCTGGCAACATGGGGGTGTGGCCTAATATGTTAATATGATGTGCTGTCAGGGGTGTGGCCTAATATGCTAATGAGTTTCTGCTATTGGGTGTGGCCTATTATGCTAATGAGTTCCTGTTGGGCTTTTTCTACAAAAAAAGCCCTGGGTATAACACTATAGAGTCCATCTTCCAAAGTGGCCGTTTTCTCCAGAGGAACTGATCTCTGGAGACCAGCCGTAATCCCGGGAGAACTCCAGCCATCCTCTGCAGGCCGATAACCCCGCCTGCCATCAAGGTCTTCCAAGGAACACCGCTCAAAACATGTTCCTGCGGCAACAGATTCTCCGAGCCAGAGAGTTTTGCGCGGCACGCCATTCCCGCCATCTCACCTCTGACCACAAGTATGGTGGCTGAGCACTCTCCACTTGACAGCTGCTGGGCAGCATGCAACACGATTCCGGCACCTGCGTTCTGTTGTGCACAAACCAGTCTGTGTAGTTCTGCACCCCACAACAACGAAACTAGGGAGCAAAGGAAGCAGGAGGCAATATCACAGATATTCGGGGTGGGGGAGGGGGAGGGGTTGCTAGAGGAAAAGGGCGGGGGGGGGGAACCTTATCCCTGCAGTACTTCAAATCTCCAGCAGGGGGGCGTGTTCTAAACACTCACCTCCGTCTGCACAAGGTCCCAGGCGTGGGTAAGGCCCAGGTTGTCGTCTGTCTTGTACAGCTTCAGCCCTTCCTTCAGGTTGGCCTGAGCATAGCCATCGAACTGGAGCAAAGACACAGAAGAAACTCAAAAGCAGACCTGCGGGGTCATACCAAGGGCCCCTTCCTGGTTCCCCAAAGGCCTCTAGAAGGCCTAGAAGCAGCACATGGAGGCTGACACCACCTCCTGTTGTTGCCCTGCAAATGGTATTCAGGATTCACCTCCTTGTTGCATCTGGAAGCCTGAAGATTGTACCCTACGGTGCTGTTCGGCTAAGGGTGGAGACTTCCTCCGGTAGAAAGAGGCTTCCTCTGGCAGGAGAGGTGTGTTTTGCCAGAGGAAGGCACCCTCATTAGTAGAATGGAGCCACAGGACCCAATCCTAATAAAATGGACGTGGCCTGGGCTTTTATGGGCTAGGGTCCACTTCGTTGGATGCATGAAGTGACTTCTCAATCAGAAGATACATAGACATGCACACAGCGAAGAGGAGAAAAATTGTAACCAGTGGGATTTAAAAGGCCATGAAAAACAAGCAGGATAGTTTGTAACATTTATTTGCAAAATTCAAAAATATACAAGATAGGCCACTGACCAATGATTGTAGCGCGTGATAGTAGAGTGGAACAAGGAGATGAGGTCTCCAACAATGTGATCTCAGCTTACATCTTTAAAATATTACCAAAAAAATTATCTGTATCAACTGTCTGGCTGTATTTTTGCTGCTAACTATATGTAACATTTTAAGATATTTGCTGATCTTTGATCGTAATAAATCGAATCAAATTGGGGAAAAATAATAAACCCAGTTTCCAGTTCTCATGGAAGCAATGAAAACCAGGATGGAAACAGTATCCTAGCAGTCTTCTCTTCTAAAGGTTTGGAAGCCAGAAAAATGCCAGGTGAGGCTTCCAGTGATGCAGGTGGGGACAGGGAAGGCTCCTTCCCTGTCAGTTCCCAACCAGTTCTCCTCTCCCTCATCCCCCATTTCTATAAGCTTTGCCTCTTCTTTGGAGGTCAGTAGGGCTCTTTTGGTTGTAGAAAAAGCCCAGCAGGAACTCATTAGCATAATAGGCCACATCCAACAGGAGAACCTCATTAGCATATTAGGCCACACCCCCTTCCCTGGGGAAGGGAAAGAAAGGCATTTAAATCCCCCCCCCTTTCCTGAGTTTCTCTGCAACAGCGGAGAGGCTTAGGGAGGAAGGCAGTTTAAACAGGCCGGGAAAGGCACGGGGAGGCATTTAATCGCCCGGGGGGGCGGGGTCGCTCTCCAGGCCTTCCCTCTGTAGCCACACACAGAGAGGTTTTGGTTGTAGTGGGCGTGGCCAACTCTGAAGCCAGCCGGAACTCCGTTCCTGTGCGTTCCTGCCCCAAAATAGCCCTGGAGGCCACCATTCCAAGGGAAGATAAGCATGGAACATGTTTGTTTGTTTGTTGAATGAGGATGCCCTGCAAACTATGCTGGACCAGGGAGCTATTTCAGGCGTGCCAAAGAAGAAGAGAGTGCTTACCTTGTCCCGGCAGGTGACAAACACCAACAACCCAACCAGTTCCAGGAGGAAGAGTGTGGACAGAACCAGGAAGAACTGGAAAGAGATAGGTGGATCAGAATCTCAGGCAGCAGGAGTTCTACTTAGCTACAGTTAAACGCTGGCTGGGGCAGCACAGGGGCATAACGAAGGGTTGGCATGGACAGATGTTGTGTTTCTGAACCTCACTGGCAGACTGCTGCTGGCTGATCTTTTGACTGTAATAAATCTTGATGATGGTTTCTGGACCCTCCTCCCTTCCCACACCTGCACATCAGCTCCATACTTGATTGCACCTGAAGTACCACACACATACGGTCATGGAGGGGGTAGAAGTTTAAAGGTAAAGGTAAAGGTTCCCTTGCTCAAAAGCCAGTCGAGTCCGACTCTTGGGTTGCGGTGCTCATCTCCGTTTC